CCATAGTAAAGCATGTAAAAATGTGAAAAGTGAACTGATTATTTATTACATGATAATTAGACTTTTTCTTGTGAGGCACAAGACGTTGTGTGTGGTTGGGAATAGGAATTCACAAAAAGTAAGCTGAAGTACTTGACTTCAGTTAAAAGCCTAAAGGGGGTGTTAGAAACGATGGAACATAACTCAGAGGTACATGGTGAAAGGACAAGAGGCAACGTCACAGATTTCAGCAATGGAAATTTCAACTGCATATCAGGAGAAAATTTTTCACAATGAGAATGGTTAAGAACTAGAGAGGTTGTGAAATTTCCATCCTTGAAGACTTTTAAAACTTGACTGGCTAAAACTCTGAGCAACCTGATCTATCTTTGAAGTTGTTGCTGCTCTGAGCAGGAGACTGGACTAAATGACCTTGAGAGGTCTCTTCCAACATGAATTAGTCCATGATTTTGTGGGTCTAAGTTATCTTGTATTTGCAGATATTTGAGGTGGGGAGAAAATGTGTTCAGAAACATTTAATTTCCCTTAAAACTTCTGGCAGAAAACAATTTGATTACATATTTTTCTTCAGTTTACATTTTAGTAGCTACAACACATTCAGTTCTTTGTACCATATTTAATAATTTCAATTTTAAATAAGAACTTTTTTTTTAATCTTTCCTATTCTTTCATGTTCCCCCAGTTGCAGCTCAGGACAATATAGGAAAGGAAGTAACCTCATTTGAATGCAAATAGCAACTTTTTTCTTAAAGTACAGTAGCTTGCAACTCAGGTCTGTAGAATGAGTGCTAAAATCATGAGGAACTGCACTTTAACTACACGTAGTGAGCTACGAACATACTACTGCCATTGTGCTCAGGGTTCTTGGATGCCACGGTTCTGTACATAAACTTTCATAGTATTATTGTACATGCTTTCAGAGCAGAGTTGAAGTACAGGATTTACTTATATGAAGCATGGAAATGAATTATAATGGCCAATGAGGAGAAAACAAAATACGCAATGGCCACACATGGTAAGAAAAGCACAATTATTTTTTTTTCCTTCAACCCTTTATTAAGCTTTTTCTGACTGCTGCAGTACATGGAGTAAGACCCAGTACAGCAGCCTCACTCAATTCCTAAACCTGACTCATCTCTAAAATAGGCCATGCTGTACAGAGATTAAGTAAAGGATGGTGAAAAAGAAAAAAAATACAGTTGTGATGGCATAATTAAAAGCTATATAAAAATGAATGTACAGAGAGCACTAAACTCTTATACAAGCAATCTTCATTCTGGCATTTCTTGATACTGGAGTGTTTGACTTTCAGTCACCTAATTTTTGTGCCAAAAGACACGTACGTACAACCATATGATTTAATACATAAGACATTTTTTGTAGCAAAAAAATGTCTACTGATTTTAAAACTAAAAATGGACGTTCAATAGTTCTTATTCTGCTTCTGTTCTGCTTGTGGGATCTGTAGACATCATTAGGGGAAGCTTTCAAATGCCCTGAAGAAAGAGTGCTGTTTCTTCATTACATGAGCATTTGCAGCCCTCTTTCTACTGCGGGTCTTTATTCAGAGGCTGTAGCTGAATCCCATAGAAGTAACTGGGAGTTTCATCTGAAGAAGAAAGTAAAAAATGCACAGACTGTTCACTTTTGTGGGGGTTTGGGGGCTTTTTTTTTTTTTTTTTGGCTCCGAGATAGCTGAATCTAGTTCCTTGTGTCCTTTGTTGATATATTTAAACAAATCACAGAAGTATTACATTTTCTCAAAGATGCTTTCTGTTATGTTTTCCTTTTTGTTTCACTAGCGTGCTTCAGGTGTGCCTCATTCAAGACAAGACAAGAGGTCATGCTTTTCATATGCTACATTTGCTTAACCACAGACTAAAATAAATATTACCACTCCTGAAACCTTAAAGTCCTACTTATACTGAGTATTGCACTCACCAACAAGCAAAACAACACAGAGAATAACTAAATATTATTGAAGAGTAATACTGAAAAGTAAGTCTGAGATGTGGGTTTTCTAGGCATTTGTTCACAAATCCACATAGCAATCAAGGTTAAGAACAAGTGATTGCACTTCCTCTTTGTTACAAACCTTTCTTACAAAGCCATAAATATTTCAGCTTGCTGTGAAAAAGTTTCAGCAAAGACAACTGTGCCTCAAGGCCAGAAAATACTTAGTGTGATGCCATTTTCCACAAGATATATATGATTGTAATGGTGTATACTGCAAACAGATTTGCATGGTTGTTCACTAATAATCCTTGAGCCTCCTCAGTCTCTTCAGAGATGATTACCCTCATTGTTCTAAAAATTTCTGAGTCTTTGTAGGCCTGTTTCAGCGTAATAAGGAGAAGCTGTAAAAATGTCACGACCTCCACCTCCACAACTAAAATAAAACAAGGATGAAGCTAGAAAGCCTTTTGTAATAAGGTATATTAACAACTGAAATGTGTCATCTCCATTGTATCAGCAGGTGATGATGCAAAAATTGATGTACGTACACATAGAATACAAGCTGTTCTCAAAACTTTAAAAAAAGCCTTTCTTTTATTTTATTTGGTAGAAAGCTATAAATTATACATATAAAAATAAACTATACCCAGCTGAACTATTATTAGGCTGTAATTTTAACCTATCAATTCCTAAAGCCATGCTGTGCAGGATCCTCTCTCATGGTTTACAACCTCAGAGGCATCCCTCTGGTACTTACCTAAAGGTTATTTTTTATTCTCTATTTAGGACTGATTCAGGCACAGAGCTTTTTTCAAAGTTCTATGTGCCATTCCAAATACAAAAATATACACAGGAGTATCGTTACAGATTTGAAGTTGCAGTTATTCCCAGATGAAAATATAAATAATAAAGAAGATTCAGTGCAAGATGTATGAATGTGACTGAGAGACATAAAACCTAAAATGATCCATTTTGTAAGATACCTACATCTGTAAAACAGTTGGAGCCCCTGAAGGATCTAGAACAGGAGGATAAGTTTTATCCACCCAAACAGTTGGGTACATTTCCATTAGATATATATTTCTAGGTCTCAGATTTTGCAGAAGATTTGATCATAAGGGGAAGTTTTGATGTACGATTTGCAGTTGAAAGGGGGAAGAGAGGACAGTGATGTCCCACATGTGAATTAGATCTTTTGTGGAAAATAAGTTGATCTTAAATCCATTTTCCAGGAACTCTTCCTTTTCTCCCTCTCTTTACCAATGCTGTTGGTCTGAAAACCAGGTGAAGCGGAAGGAATATATTCTACTGGGTATTTCAAGGTAGATTATATCACTGGAACAAATAATACCTCTAAAGACCAAATAAAAGTATTAACTGCATCCAAATATAAGTGTGAACCATATGGTTGGTTGGGAAATACTCCAGATGACACAACCCTAGACTTCAGAAAAAAACAGTTCCAGGTTTAGATACTGGTTTTAGCCCATCTTTATTCCAGCTAGCACTTAGTAGTGTTCTTAAGCTGTTTTTATACCCATTAAACCACACTGCTCAAACAGCTGCTTATCCTTTCTCCCTTCCTTCCGATCCCCTTTCACTTCCCCGACATGATAATCATCCCAACATCTACAAGTTTAGGAATGCAGGTGGTTGAAACAAGCAGGTGGAAAGAGGGTGGATTGGGTTGAGTACAATGGTACAACAAGTGTCGGGTCTGTTATATACATTAGTTCACTTAGCAATACAGAAAGCATTTTAACCAAATAAAAGATAATACATGCAAGTTCTTTTATTTACTATGTTTTTATCAAGCTTTTAATAATATTGGGCCTGTCTGAAGGTATAAAACCCAGGAAGTGTAACGTTTTACCTGCAGAAAATTACTTTACACTCTCAGGAAATGAAATTCTGATCCTTTTGAAGTCAGCATCTTTTGAAGAAACAGAATACATGGGGATGAAATATCCCAGTCTCTAATATTTTTTGTACTTTGGGGGTGATTTGAGAGAACATACAGGTCACAAAGTATCTTTGCCTCATTTATTCTTCCTATAATTGTGTTTAACTTTCTGCATCATAACATATCAGTAACTCACAAAGGATCAGAGAATTACATCTGTAATTTACAGTTGGGATAAACTCCCTTTAATCAGGAATGGCAATTAAATATTTGAGTCAAGAAGAGAATGTGATCTCTTTCCCATGTGGGATTCTCCTTAATGGTCAGTTCACACCACTGTGAGCATAACTCAGCATGGACAGCAGTATTCAGACTCAGCTGAAGCTTATTACTTTAACAAAATAATTTGTTACCAGTGCTAATCTTTTATCCCACTAATTGCCAGCCTTCTGGGAACGCCTCAAGAAGTAGGAGTTTTGGTTTGAGACATTGGTTTGAGCCAATTACCAACTGCCACTTTATGTGTTATCACTTACAGTGTCAATAAAATCCTATAATTACGTCATTCTCAGGAAAAGATATTTTTCCTACAAATTTTGACTGTGTACAATTGTTCAATCATAACATTCCCACCAGAAGCACAAAGTTAAAAAACACTGCTGTAGCCAAATGGCAATCTGTTCCGGCACCTCAGTTTACATTTTAATTTAATGAAAGACATCTTGTTTTACAATTATTATGCTGTGGTATAAGACCCCTGAAATGAATCCAGCTAAGTTACCGCAAGCTAAATGGTACAAAAAATATTTGTTTACCCTTGAGATAGTAATCTTTTGTATTCATGAAATCATTAATGAACGTCTCTCATAGAGGTGAAATTTTCATTGCAGAACTACTAAGGGGGCAAAAAGAGGTAATTTTCTTTTAAAACATATATATCATTATTGTTGTGGGCACCAGAAGGTATATGCTCATTACCGTCTAGATTAGAAGTTTCTAACATACCCAGAATACTCCAAATTGCCATCATACTACCCTCATTCTAATAACACGAAAAGGATGAGTAAAACAGAACACAGCCTTTCAACTGGGGCATGTTATCAAAGTGCTGATGGTCTAAACATATCCAATGGTAAATTACCTTTGAAAGGTCCCCAGCCTCCAAATAGAAGCAGATAACAAACACGTTCCATGTAACCCAAAGGACCAGCCAGACTGCATACTGCAGGAAGGAAGAGAGAAACAGTACATTAATAATTTCACTATCAACTGAGTTAAACTTTGTTCATTAGACCATTAGTTCAATCTAAGACAAAACCAGACTATAAATATGGTGCATATGAATATAAATGTTATATATAAAAGAGAATCAAGAATAAATTCTTCCCTTTCACAGACACAACCTAGAGTGACCTAGTGAGTATTCAGTCATGCCAGAAAAATCTGTATCTGAGGAATGACTTGATAGATTTGAGATTAATCTGGATCTCCTATTACTGTTCAAATGAGGAATACTGCAATATCAAGAGAGGCATGTAATATAAATTACATGTGAGAAGTGCGGAGCTGTTTATTCAAATAGTTATTCAAATATAACTTACTAAGCAACAAAGTCTAATTGAAGTAGGCACTGGATTCTGCAACACTTTGGATTTAGTCTCAAGAAACTAAACCTATATATATATATAAAACTATATATATAGGTTACTTTGCAGTATTTCTACAAAATATGGAGGGATTTGGTCATGACAGCTGCCTCTATCAATACATTTTGTGACTTTCCAAAGCATGGTTCATAATTATTCAAAACCCTTACAGGTAGACTGTATTTTAAATTGCCAATTTCTTTGGGGTTTTGTTTGGTTTTGCTTTGTTTTGTTTTACAGTGCGTAGAAGTATTCATGCTTAAGCAATATCTGTTCATTGGTGGTTGCCAAATTTCTTATTCCCATATCTAATGTGAGTAATGGAGTCCATGTTTTCTCTCCTTCTGTCCACTACTTTTTGTCTTTTGTGTATCCGTAAGACCTTATGTGCTAGGACTGGAAACTACATTTCCTTGCTGTAATGCTGGAGGATCTTGCATAACAGTTTGACCTGCTGTTGCTACTCTTATCTAATGTTTGTGCTTGAGAACTTCCCCTGACACATTATTCCATCATCTAATAAACCTTAGGATCTACAAATGTTTTTCTAACGGCTGTTGTAGCTATCCTCTAGTTGTTCACAATTCAATTCTGCATGTTTGTGAATTTCATTCCACAGACCCAAGGCACTGCATATGTGTGAAATACGAGAGACGCGACACTATTGCCTATCTGTTACAGCTGAGGGCTATTTCCTCCCTTTATGTCACAAACCCATTTCTCTCAAGTATTTACAGACTCAGTCTTCCTGTTTTGTTGTCTGTTCTCCAAACTATACTGATTAAATTTTTTGAACTACTTTCAAATCAGGAAACACTGTTTTCTGCACACCTCTGTATTATATCACCTTCTGTATAAGCAGACAATATTTTAGGCTGTACACTATCCATCCCTTAGAAAAAAAAATATGACAAACCATTGCTTGTCATGAATGACAATCTCATTCTCTAAATTCAGTAACAACCTACATCGGATTCTTCTTGCACTTCTCTTGGAAGTGCTATTTTGCATCAAGTTGTCTATCATTCAACGTGCCATTTTCTACTTAATCTTCTAAATACCGTGAAAAGAATACAATTCTGTCCTTTCTCAGGAGATCTAAAGTAAGACTACATCCAACATGAGTAAAATTTGGGCCTGTTCCAATTTCTTATTTTTATAGTCAACCAAATAATTGCCAACCAGCCTAGCTATTAGGTAGACCATGTACAGATTTTAAAGAATTATGATAAATAGTATTTTGATCTAATGGAAGCTAACACAGTTTTAAAGGTTCAAATTTCTCTACACAGAAGTAATTTTAGGTAATTTAAAGCATACAGATTACATATACTTTACAGGACAGCTCTTTCTGGTCCATAGATCTGGTCACAGATCATAGACTTATTTAGGTCAGGAGGGACACTCTGGAGGTCACCTGGTTCAAACTCTGCTCAAAGCACGACCAGCACAGATCAAGTTGTGCAGAGATTTGTCCAGCTGAGCTCTGAATATCTCCAGGGATGGAAATTTCACGGTCTCTCTAATGCATATGTACTCTTTGAGTGTAGGCTGCACATAAAACTTTGGAACATAGGAACTTAATTCAGATGCATGGTCTTAACACACTCATATTTTTCTTTTTTAAACCCAGCTCTGCACCATTAAGTATATTGAGCATTTCATTTTCCTGTACCTTGCTCATGGTACACCTGGCTTTGCATGTAACATGGAGCGTTATAACTACCAGAGCAAGAAAAGAAAATATTAATTTAGATTCAATAACCTTAATTTGGCATTATTTCTAACTTTGCAGCATTTTTACTTGCCATTTTTTGCCAATTATTTTAATACTTCAAATGTTTTATACAAGTATACATATACTCTGATGGAGTTAATACAAGTAATCCTTCTAACACACGAAGATAATTTGATGTTTGACAGCGAAAATTCTACATGTTGCATTTAGACTGGTTCCCCAAAGAAATGAGACTTAAGCAGTTAATATCCATATGCAATGTCTGTTTCCTTGAAATAACTTCTGTGCTCCTGAACAATTTTAAGTAAACTAAACAAAAGACTAGAAGATTCAAAGATTTTTTTTTCACAAAAGTTTCAGGAAAAGTGGCCTACAAATGGGAAGAGATACTCTATTAAGTCCTCATACAGAGCAAGACTTATAAGATCATCTTTTATCAGTCAACATGAAGGGGGAAAAAAAGCGGAAAAAAAAGAAGCTAGGTTTCATTAGATAGGCTGTTCATGGCACAACTCGTCACATTGCATGTAAGCAACAACTGATTAAAAAGCCCCCTGTGCACAGCACATCCAGCAGAACACTGCACGGCACTTTGGAGCTGCTTGTCCCAGCAGAAAGCCTTACGCTCACGTGGAGAAGTGAAACTTCACTTTTCCACTGTCTAGTCTATCACCAAAAAAATGACAAATTTATCTGACTTTGGAGTACAGATAAGGTTTAAAGATGCCTTTTAAAAGTATGTTTTAAACTGCTTCCTTTTGAAATGTTATATTAAGTGTTTGCTGCCTGAATTCTGCGGATAAACACTGAGTATAATTGCCTTGAAATACAACGATGCTTCTGCTTCCCACTGCTTCTTATTTCAGATGCTTCAGATCTAGCACCTCTCTTATCTCTGGATCACATGCAGTCATAAATGCCTCTTGTTGTCTATGTGCTTCAGCAAATTGTTGCGGAAATTCAGCTCTGAATGCCTGTGACAATCAATAAATCCCTCTGGTGCGCTCTACTATATGTATCTAATTAGAAACACATTTTATAAGTGTTCTTCAAAGGGCTATAGCTATACTTTTTTCTTATATGTGGGAGTTCAAGACAGCTGTATTATCTGACAGAAGCCACCACAATGTTACAGCAGTCACATATCAACAAGACAAGAACCTTGATGAACAAATACTTGACCAAGCAGGAGATACTGACAGGAGGTATAGCAATAACAACACAGCTTATTATTCTTATGGAAATCCAAACTGGAAAGAGGTATAACTGGAAGGCTAAGACTGACAAATTAAATACTTACTATTTTGCAAAGTTGTAGTCAATCAGTAAAGGTTCCATTTTTTTGGTAAAATAAATTATGTAAATACAGTTCTTATATGGTACAATACGCTTACCATACTTTAAGTAAACATGAATTTATAACCCTCTACAAAGAATTATGAGAAGAATTACCTACTTTATGATTTATTGATACTATGTAGTTACAGGTTTGAAAATTTGCTATGAATATCACAAATTAACATTGGATATTTTTTTCTTGGGGAATGGGAAACTGAAATATTAAAATACTTGCAAGGGTACTAAGAATCTGTACATCTCTCTTTACACTTCTTTCAAAGTTGGCTAATGGCATTATCTCCATTTTACTAACAGGGAAACTGAAGGTCAAAGAAATTAAGTGACTAGACTTAATTCCACAGCCCAATAGAAAAATGACCACAAGGGCACAAGAACCAAAGGTTCAGGTAGCCCACTACTGCCTTTGAAATAAACCTGGTCATCAGAACTCACACCTAATACTCTTGTCACTTTGCGTGAAGGAGAAACATGTCACATACCTTTCGAGTAAAAATAGTGAGCAACTCTGACAGATATGAGTATTTTAAATATGTGAGTTAATTACAATCACATTCGACTGAGGGATACAAAGGCTCCAGATCTACAAGATATTACCTTCTGCCATTCAAAGCAATTGAACTGTTGTTACAATTAGCAATTTGCTACTTATTTTCTTTTTAGAAACGTACACAATTTTAGTTTCAGATTCTTCCAGATCTGAAAGTATTACGGCCCAAGACCCTTCCACGCTCCATTCAGGAAAAAGAAACTAAATGCATTTTTGAAGCGGTAATTACTACATTCGCCATTGTAATTAAAAATGTGATTGTTCATGCTATCTGGGCAACAGTACTTCAGTTGTTAAAAGATTACCTTGAGCCCAGCACGCCTGGAAAGAGCACCTCTTTCCAAAAACACAGTAACAACTGTCCATAATTACAATTAACTTTGCTTCTAAAGTTATTTTCCCCTAATTTCCTCTGTCTATGAAGATATATCACTTAGAAATACGATTTTCAAACTTATCTTTTCCCCATCAAATCTTATAACAAGTGGAATTCTGAATATTTGGCACTAACATACTATCTAAACTTACTGGTAACATTCAGCTAATCTTTGAGGTGCCTACAACTCTGCTTACCTTTGAAAAGCCCTCAGAAACAGAAACAACTATTTGGTGGAGTCAACTGTTCCTGAACAGCAAAGTCCATGGTTCAGTTGTCATAACCTTCTGTGGAGTTGCTTGTTCGAACCTCTTCAGCACTAAACAGCAAATGTTCCGCCTCTTATTTCCACCTTTCTGGAACTAGTAAAAGACCTCACCTAGACTCCCCTAGGAAAAGTCCATTTGAAGTGGCAACGACAGCAGTGTACAGGATGACTTCATGTGGCCACTTAGTAGGCTCCATTCTCTAATTTAATCTGCTCTGCACAATTTGCTCTTTCCTTCCCATTCCCATTGCCTGAGGTTTTCTCTGAGAGCTGATGAGGGTGTGGGCA